TAACACAAATATTATAGGTATTTAAGTTAAATAAATTAATTTTAAATGAAATAAATTATCTGTTTTACGTAAATAAAAACATTTCTTTAATTTAAAAAAATACATGTGTTTTACTTGGTTTTATTTCATACAAACTAATAATATTTGTTTGCGTTGAATAAATTAATTTTAAATTAAATAAATTAAAACAAATAAATATTTTTTTACATTCAAAAGAACATTTATTTGGGTATATCGAAATAAATAATTTATTTGATATAAATAAAATTTATTTAATTCAAATAATCTTTTTTCTCTGTGTAAAGATTGGTAAAGGCGTTAGGTAGAGTTAGAATGTTTTTACATATTATGCGTTAATTTTGACGCGCAGTGTATGTGATTACCAAAAATACCAGCTCAAACGTTTAAGGATGTTGTGTTTAAACATCATGAAAGATCCTTGGATTCGTGTTAAACCAATAACGACAATTATGACCATTACGACATTCAGAAAAAATGAACATTCGTCTGAGAAGCAAACATTAAAGAATGAGGAAGTATTTATAATTATTTCGGACATTATTTCACAAAATTGTAAACGGCGATCATTTTTATGCAATTTTTGAAGAAGTTGAATTTTATATGGGTGCCATTTATTCACATACTTCCACACAAGTAAGTGGAAGTATGTGCATTTATTATGTTTCAGAGTTTTCTGTACGGTGGCCCGAGAAACTCCCGTTAAATCAGAAAGTTTTCTACTAAATGTAGGGTAGAAAGTAATTTCACCCAGAACTACTTGTACTGCCTCATCTCTCACCGGATTTTTAATATCTCGTTTTTTATTTGCCACTGAACCAGTTTTCAGGAATTTTGCTTCTAATTCTATAGGATGTAACCATGATGTACGTGTCTATTTGCATGCCTTTTATTAAACAAAGTTACCGTTACTCTTGCACATTGATTGTTTATAAAAACAATTCAATAATTTCCACTCTCTCGGCAATAGAATAAACCATTTTTTATCGAATCGAAAGAAAATAAAAGCACAGAAATAACGAACTATCCACATCAACTACTTTACTGAAGATAAAGTCGATTTGTCGACTGATATTTGTTTGTTTAAAACAAATTTTTTGCTTTACGAAATTTGTAAATAAGCAGTCTAGTAAAATATTAGGAATTTCATTGCTCGGCGACGCCTAGCTCAAATTTAAAAATCGAGGCGCCATTTTAAATAAAATGTAATGCCCCTTCCCTTTTGAAAAAAAAAACCGCTAAGGGTTTGAAGTTACAGTGATGAAATTAATGCGTAAATATCTCCTAGAAACAAAAGTATACGGTTCCAAAGATTTATTTTTATTTTCACATACAAAGTTGTAAACCTTACTTGACTGTTTTCGGTGGGCCACCCTGTATAATATATGTATAATAGGGTGTTGGCAATATGTCAAGATTAATTATGCAAAGCTGTGATTTATTGTGCAAAATTATTTAAGAAGGTTGTCGTGTGGTGCATTAGTAAGAAATTGAGATTAAGTAGGTATGCAAATGTAATGTAAAAAATATGTAAAGTTTTAAGACTGCGTATGATTTAGAATAGTATATTAAAGTACAAGTTGCAGAAGGCCACATATTCTCGCACGAATTCGAAATTTGGCCTCGAGCGACGAAGGAGCGAGTGGACGAACGAATGAGTGCGAGAATAGCCTTCTGCAACGTGTGATTTATACTATTTTCTCGATTTTAACTTTTATTTAGGTTTTTTTAAATGTTTTGTGGTCGTTGTTAGTTGGGGGATTTTTCTTGCAAAATGTCAGTTGGCAACACAAAATGACAGTTGCATGGACAGGTAGATTTATTTTTATTTACTATTTATTAATAATCTGTCTGTATTTGTCAACTGGATAATAAGGTTTTGTGTAAGTATTGTATTATTTTTTAATGTTTTCTGATATTTTTGAACAATTGTGTTTACTTTTAGCAGTGAAAAATGTCACAGGAGGTTTTACAAGCAACACTGAACATTACAATAAAAGTTTATAACAATTGTGCTAGTGATTAATTTATAGTAGTTTTGTGTTTTGTGTACTGTGGGTATATAATATTTCCAATAAAATATAGTTTGATTGACCTGTCTGGCTCATTTATTTGTCAATATTTGTTATCCTGCACAAGTAGAACTGAACTGCACTTTTTCACATTAAACTTAAAATTTTGCATTAAAATGCATTGTTGGAGCAAACTTAATATAACAAAACAATAATAAAGGCTTCATTTTCAATAAAAGTGTAGTTCAGGTTGCACTAGTGCAGGATAACAAACAAAGCTATTATAAATAATCCTAAAAGTAATGAATTTGAGGTTATTAAACAGTTTGACATTTTGGGGGGTACCAATACTTAAAAACTAAATGTTACCAAAAATCGTTTAAGAATGAGCTTCATTCTTCAACGATTTTGCGTGCGAGAATATGACATTCTTACATAAAAATCGAGAAAGTAACATTTTCTAGGTGCGACTGTTTTTTTAATAAAACTCTTTCTAAACATGCTGTAAAATTGTAAAAATACGTTTAAAAAGTGAGAAAAACCGTATTTTTTTTTAACAAACTCAGCGTTTTAATGACTTGACCTAGGTATACAATACATTTTTAAGCAGATAAAACATTATTGTTTTAAATTTTATTAGACAGTTAAAGTTCATTTGTAATTTATATTATACAGACCCTGCAAACATTAAATCGTCGGCCGATGATCGGATAAATGTTGGCAATTGATTTAGCCAATATACCGGTCCGTAATACGTCGACCAACATTGTTTTTTATTAGTCGTTTTCCTAAATAATTCAATAATTATTACACCGATTGTAGGATAAAAGTCTGACAATGACGATTAGAAAGCTAACGTCGCAAAACGTTGGGACGATATCGTATTTATTTTTTCTACGACCATGGTCACTTTTCATGATGGCATCGTTGCTTAGAAAATGAATCTTTTCATTGGCAAGGCAAAACACGAATGTAAAGTGACATTTCTGTGTGAAAAGTGACAGGTGTGTGTGAAAAGAACCGGAAAGCATCGTTTGACATTCAGCTGTCAAAAAAGTTTTTAGGTTATTTTGTTTTGTATTTAAAAATAATAAAAAATAAAAGGGTCGCAGAAAAAACATTGTGTTATACTTGTGCGAAAAGCTTTCTTCAAGCTCGTGTTAATGCACACTCGGCCTAACGGCCTCGTGGGCAACTTAAAAACTCTCATGAAAATGTCGCTTTTCAACACTTGTAAAACAAATAACTATTTCAGAAGTAAAAAGTTTGAAATAATAATTATTGTTTAAATGTTTGATTAAATATATATTCATGATTATTGGAAAGCTTACAACAATAAAATATTAATATTTTTTATGGGGAGTGTTTTGAAATCGGGCTATACGAGTGAGGAGAGCTTTTAAAGAAAAGCCACACAAAGGTTTTTGAGATAAGAAAATCCTGATTATTGTTGGTAATAATAATATTTTTTTGTAAGAACAGAACATAAATCAAAATATTGTACTATGTAATATAACAAAATTGTAATTCTGTGGTAAGTCGTTAGCTATTTGGATTTTGCAATAAAGTTTATTATTATTATTATTAATAATAATAAAATTACAATTGATTGTCGAAAATTGCTACATGATTAAAACTGGTGCCAAATTTTAAATTGATTTATTTGGTGGTTTTATGAATAAATAAATTTAGGTTGAGGCTAGTAGATAGTACCACTATATAATTATTTTAATGTTTAGTATTTTAATTGCCTATAGGCATAGGTACTTAATTAGTAAAATCATTCAATTAAAAAAATAATGTAATAAAATATGTAATTAAAAATTTCAATATTTAGTTAGGTAAACAAGGCGGTAGTTTTAAAATAATATATGTACACAATCTTTGCACGAAAGATTTGTATCAAATGTTTTCACTATTTTTTTTCAAGGTTTTTATCCAATTTCATTTAAAATCTAAACTATAAAAATTACCAAGCAAGCAGTGGCGGAATAAACCCGTCGGGGGCCCGGGGCGGTAAAATAAAATGGGGCCCCTAGTCTGCTTAGGAATTAATGTGATTGTTTTGTAAATATTAATGTTTTGTTATTTTAAATTTGTTACAAGATCCTTAATGTAATCAGGGATATGAAAATTGATTACAAGCTTTTTCCAGCGAACTTATAAGTATACTTATATTTGATTTAAAAATCAAGGGGCCCACTCATGGCAGTCTAAGATTAACCATTATTTAATGTAATTATAACCTTTTTTCTAATTCCTGATGGATTGCAGCTAGGGGTCCCTAAGACCAAAACATTAAAAATCTTTTTTAGTTTTGACTTTATATTTTGTTTTTTTTTCATAACATGTTATTCTTTAGAAACTTGAAATCTCCGGGGTATTTTTTTTAATCAGTTTATATTTTATGGTAAAGCTGGGTCCTGAAATATTTATATCTATACTAGGGTTTTAAAGTGTCGAAAAAAAAACCGAAAAAATTGGGGAAAAAATCAGGCCTTAAAAAAATGTCTTTTTTGGGTAAAATTTTTTTTTTTTTTAAATATATACAAAAAGTTAGCAATCAACAACTTAACATTAATTTAATTAAAAAAAAAAAAACTAAACATTGAATTAAATTAAATTGATTTAAGAAAATGATAGTATGATTATATTCACTTTTTTCTCGATATCAGTGTACGGATAGTACCTACAATGTAGGTCCTACATATCTGTAAAAATTTGTAAATTTTTAAAAAAATTGACTTGCATTTTTTCGTATTACTCTTGAAAATTTCCCAATTTTTTTTCTAAAAAAAAAACCGGTTCTTTTTTGCCGGCCTTTTTTCCGGAAATTTTAAAACCCTAAATTTTAGATAGTTTTTTGTTGGACTGAGAAAGACTACTTAAGATAATAAGAAATACTACTTAGGATAATAAGAATAATAAGAAATAATAAAAAAAAATAAAGACCAAAATATCTTAACTTACTTTTTTTGGTTAGGTATCCTTAACACCTCACAAACAAATATCGTCCTTCCCAAGGACTATCTAAGCAAAGAATTCATGTTCCCCCATACAAGACTTACCTTTATACATCTCCCCCTTAAAAAATATTTTACAATTTACTACTTTTATCTACTAGAATCAAGCATGTGATATTTTTCATTGACCAATAGCTTGATTGGAAAGTATTATGCGTATGTTTAGACAGGAACATTTTGTTTTATAGGAACTGAAAGAGTTTTTAAAGGCTATTTAGAATTCTTTAAATGGACGTACTTTACGTTCTTAGTGGATGTATATATACTAAGTATACTTTAACAGATGCATGGTAATTTTATCTCCTATGGATTTTCTCTTTTGGTTTTAATATAAATATATTGATAGACTAATTGTTTTAATTATTCAGGTTTTCAAATAAATGTACAAAAAGTTGTTTGAATAAATTAATTTTCACTTTGTTGATAATTTAATTCTGTATTCTTTATATAGAAATAGGTATGTGTGCGCTATGTATTTTTTACATTTTAAATTTTACATAAACATTCGGAAAATATAATTCAATTTTTGTTTAAAAAGTTTGTAGGCCTGTGTAAATGGAGTTAGCTAGATGTCCTAGGACGTGCAATTTTTTTCAAATCATACGAACTGCAAATCATTTTTAAATAAATAAGTAGTTTTTTTCACGAAAGAGAGGAAGGCAGAAGTCTTACTCGACAAATTTTGTTTAATTGCACAGCTAAATCGCGCACGTTATTTGTTTTTTGAGTTGCAAGTTAAAATAAAAAACTTTGGTTTCGTACTCGATTTATTATTTCTTATATCATTGATTAAGAAACTCAACGCTTCTATGCTAATATAGTTACGTAAGTGTGTGTATTTTATCTAAGTGATCATGGTGAATTATTGTGCTTTTAATTTTAAATAAAATTCAAGAACTAAATCATCGCATTTTTATGTTTTTCCAATACGGTACGTAGGTATACGTACCTAAGTATACCTATATTTGTTGGTGCAGAATTAACTAATGATAACTTTAAATATAATTATATTATAATTTAGATTTAAGTTTAGACATTCTTAAAAAATCTAACAAAACCTTAAAATTGAATATTTTTATATTTGAGTCCTCTAAAAAAATGCCGACATAATACATAATATAATACCGGTTCTTGGTATTTTACTGTTAAGTGGAGATTTTCTTAAACAACGCTTTTAATAATGCTAAATGCTGTTTAAATTTAGAGGACTGTTTTATATTTTTTATTGAATTAAAATGTTTACAATTTCACATAAATGTGTATTTATTGTATCTAATAGGTACAATTTATATTTACAGGGACTGTATGCAATTTATTTGTTCATTCGGATTTTCACTGTTTATTGTGAAACCGGTAAAAACTCAACCCAGGATTTCCTCTCAAAAACCACCCACGGATTTGTTTCCAATATTTTTACATTTTCGGCTTTATTTTTGGAAACACTTGTTTATAACATAATCGTTTGACAGCTGTTTTTTTTTAATAAGCTGAATTCTGGTGACGATGATAACGTATTATACAAAAGTGCTCTTTTATATACAAAAGTGCTCTTTTAGTTCCACCCTTACTTCCTAAGAAGTCCCAGAAGCCAACTGAATGGATTGTGCGGGTAGGAACGGACCGCGGGCTTAAAGTCCCCTCCGAAGGACTATTACACAATAGGACAAACACAAATAAACAGCCATACCCCTGGTGGGATTCGAACCCACGACCTCCGGCTTGTAGTCAGCAGCACTAACCACTAGTCCACCGTCGGCGTATACTTTTTTGTAATCTTAATAACCCTTTTATGTACCCATGAACTCTGTACAGACTTCTAGAAGCTTGTGTACCTACCAACATACCATTTAAATTATTATCATCGTGACATCACGATATCGAGAGAGTTTATCAGTTTTCAAAGTAATTTTTAAGGAAAAATTGATGGCAAAACGACTTGCTGCAAAAATCGTTTTAAACGGTACACAGTTAAAAAAATCAACTCTAAGCAACCCTAATTAGAGTTCACACAGATCCACACTAAATAGTGTTTTATTACACTAAAATTAGAGTTAATTTGTAGTGTAATTTTTCCCAAGTAAGCAAGTATGATTTAACACTATAGCAATGCGGATAAAGTAATTTTACACTGTATTAAAAAGTGTTAATTTACCTAAAATCGTGTACTTCTACACTTCCTGGGTAAAATCCCACTTTTGTTTAGTATAAATTAACACTACTTTGGATAAGTTCTAATTTTAGAAAGGTACTTTTACTCCTTTTGTGCAAACTTCTAGTGTAAATTAACACTATTATTTGAGTAAAACCTATTGGTGGTAGTGAATAAAACGAAAAGGTATACCTTTTCGTTTTATTCACTACCACCAATTTTTTTTATAAATAAAGAGAAACATTTATTTGGAACAAAAATCTATGACAATAATAATTATCTATGACAATTATTGTCATAGACAATTATTGTCATAGACAATTATTGTCATAGACAATTATTGTCTATGACAATTATTATTAAAATCGGTGCCTTTTAAAATATAATTTTATATTTGAGTCGTATGGCTTGCTTAAGCAAAATGGTTCCTTAAAACGTAAAAGTTTTAGATCAATGCAATGTTTTACTGGCTGTCAACTTGTAAGCAATGAATTATCTTGAGAATTCATCAGTAATCCATTTTTCTGTTATAAAAAATGGGTGATCCCATTGGTAGAGAGGCGTCAGGCGGCTGTATGTCGGGGATTTACCACACGTGTACAAATTTTCCATAATATTAATAAAAATGTAGGTATAGGTTAATATAACAACCATTACGCTTAAAAATAAAAAGTAAATCAAGTGTGTATGTATTTATATTATTAATGTTACAAGTACCCGATTTACTGCCGTAAATTATTGATATATAATATAGGTCGGGTATGGACATCCTTTTAACATTTTGGTATTTATTGAGTATTAAGTCTTAAAGAAAAAGGTATAATACTTACCAAAAAATAAGAATGTCCTCTTATGGATTCATCGTAATTAAAATATAACTGAACAAAAATGCCACACTTCCACAACTTCCACAAAAAAGAGCTCTTGGTAACATCAAAACAGACAAAGAAATTGGCATGCACTGTAGTGTACATTTTGTCACTATTTAACACATTAAGGGGTAATAAACACTCGCATAAAGTTTTTCTATCCTTTTGATTTATTTTAATAATAAATAGTGTGAAGGTACCAATGAATAATGTTCATATTCTTTAAATGTCTTTATTAAACACATTTTATAATTAATAAGCACTAAATGCTACCTAGTGTATTTTGTAGTGTAAATTTTACAAATCAACTCTAATATTTTTACCCCTACACTAAAAAATTTACACGGGCAAAATTTTTTACTGTGTATGGTTGTTTTTAGTATATAAATAATACTATAATATTGTTTCTATGGTTTTTAGTGATGTTTTTAACATTATATGAAAATCACTGACAAGATTTTGTAATGGGTAGGTACTCATATGTCCCAAACCCAAAAAAATCTAAATTTGCGATTAAATGTAGTAAAATAGTATTTTAAATATAGGTATTTACTTAAGTTAATTAATTCTAGTATATATTTAAAATACTCTTTTACTACATACTTAATTTATTTAATCTGATTTATGTCGACCTTAATTTTAATACAAAAAATAATGTTTACATCAAAATAGACTCGGTAAAATGTCTATCATAGTTACGTAAATAATTAACAATTTGTTCAATAAATACCAATGCCATAAAGAATTATTATTAATAGGAAATTCTAAAAAAAACAACCCGACAACTTTTTAGTTTAACCCTGAAATTTGAATACAGGACAAGAAGTCTAAATAATGGAGGAGCAACTCTTGACCACTAGACATAAAATGATATGCCGCAGGGAAGCCTACGGATGCTCGGGTAATATACAATACATACATTTTTGCGCAACAAAGATTACTACTAACTACTAAGTACGGTGTACGTTTTTGGCGTGCTCCCACCTAGGCAGAAAGTTATTTTTCCTGTATCTTCTTGATACAGGGCCTAAATAAAATTACAAACAAATTTTTTCACAAGTATATTATAGTTTTTGTTAGGGTGGATCTACCAGCCGGCGTAAAAACTTCGGATCCAACAAACACACGTAATGCTGTGATTTGGCGGGATACGCAGGAGAACGAAAAGGGGGTAAAATATCCCCGGGAGATCGTGGAGGATAATATATCTGGGGCCTGCCATACGTTCCCATACTCATACTCATACTCAGTATACTATAGTTTTTGAGTTCTTAAGCTTAGACGTAGACCTAACGAAGACGCACTGCAAAAAAATCAACTATAGGAATTATGTACTCTTGTTTATAAATAAACGTAAACGCAGACGAAACAGAGAAAGTTGGCCAACTTTCATCTTTCCGTTCTGTTACTTGCGTCCGGCCAATCAAAAGAGAGAATTATGTGTGTACAGCGGGTTGTCACTGTGATTTATATATTAAATATTTTTTTAGTCTACGTTACGTCTACATCCAACTATAATCCAGCTTCAGAGTTTTAAAAATTGAATTTTATTTTTATTATTTTAATGTTTTTAGATTATTTATTGTATAAAAGAATAAAAACATTTTTTAAGGACGTTTTAAAATAAAAAGTTAAAATTAATATTAATAAAGTTATGTTGATTAAAAGTTTAATTTTTTTTACGTAAACTGTCAACCATGTTAACTTTTTGGCTGCAAGTTAATGTCTTTAACTCGCAGCCAGGCTCTCAGGCTGCACAAACAAATAAAATAACACATTAATAATTTGTATGAAAAAAAATAGGAAACTAGTTATTTATCATCATGTTTTTTATTTGTTTAGTTCTTGAATTGAAATTACATAAAACTTAAATATTTAGGTTATAGTACCCAATAGTGTAATAGATTTTTAGAAAATACAAAACGGCACATAACAAAATTTTGTTTTTCTTTAATTGTTCGAAAATAAAATATTTTACTTTTAG